GGGGGGGGGGGGGGGGGGGGGGGAGGTGACCTCCAGACTCCTCTTTTCACTTGCTTTTCTATTCATACCTTGGTTACCCAAATCCGACATCATTTGAATGTTGCACTTATAATGATTGTTTTGTCATTATCAATTTTAGTTTCATAAAAAAATGCAATTTTAAGCAGAACCAAGTTTATTTTTATGTTTAAATAGGTTTGAGGGACATATATTTTTATCGTCTCTAAAAAGTTTGATCATTTTGTTTTTGACAGTTGTTTAAGCCGTGATCTGCGAGAGGGGTAGGTTACTTTCCGCTCTATTCTGAACACAGATTTTATATATGTTTGTGACTAATATGATTAGGTTGAATATGGTTTATTATTTCGGATGCCCACTTTGTGGAACTATGAACTATTGAGATGTTAAGCTATTATATTAAAATTGATTTCTCAATTTCAGTTATGAAAAATATTGTGCATATAGGGTCAACCAGCAAAGAGCCTATGGGTGGCGGTGAGTCCGTAAAGGGATTCATAGGTCCATTCATCAGTTTTGGCTAGTGAGAAGCAGCTATCACATGCTAAGGCAATCTACAGGCTCCCCCTCTCAACCCAACGGAAAAGCCAGTTCATCTTTCCAAACCCTAAAGGTATTATGGAAAATGATCTGGAAGCTCAAAATTTCCCCAAAAATCCAATCGTTGCTATGGAAGATGTCCAATAATGCACTGCCTACTAGATGGGCTCTATGGAAAGGAAGTTGATAAAGAATCCATCATGTCCAATATGCGGAGAGGAAGAAGAAATAATGGAACATCTCCTCTTGTTATGTCCCTAGGCTGCAACGGTATGGAAAAAATCTCCCCTTGTGCTTGTCATTAATAGATGTGGATTATCAAGGGTGGAGAATTGGGTAGTAGAGAGATCGGAGGAAAGGATTGAGGCTGGTGAAGTTGAACACTCAATGCAACCCTTATATGCTCTCTTATGCTGGTTCATATGGAAATCACGTAATGAGTGGATCTATCAGCACAAACAACCAAGTGATAACAGAGTTATATCTCAGGCAATGGAGGCCTTCTAAGAGATGGACAATGTTGAAAATGAAGTCCTCGCTCGAGGCAACCCAAATCAAGTTGAATCTGAATGGTCAAAACCTCCAATGGGCTGGATAAAGATCAATTGCGATGGAGCATACTACGAGAAGAGCAACAGTGCAGCTTCTGCAGCAGTGGCACACAATCATGAAGGTATACCTCTCACTGGAGCTGCAGCAAGATTAACAGTCTCCTCAGCTCTGGCAGCTGAGGCCTGTGCTGTGCGTAGAGCTGCTACAATCACACTTAATGAAGGTTACAGAGAAGTTATCATCGAATCCGACTTGAATGCCCTGGTTCATTCTCTTAATCAAGGATCAACAGCAACCACAAGAGAAATTGAAGCCATTCAACAGGATATATGGCACTATGTGAAAGACATTACTAAAGTCATCTTCAAACACACAAGGAGATCCGGCAACTCTGCGGCACATACTTTGGCCATGCACTCTAGGCAAGGCACACTGCCTTTCGATTGGCTACACTCTCCCCCAAGGTAGCTGGCGCAGATCCTCCTCAAAGTAGGTAGAATAGGTATTGGGTAAAGTTATAATGTAAAGCTTTGTTCCTTTTATTTTAATGAAAATTATACTTTGACCAAAAAAAAGGCTTAGGTACCCTTTGAAATAGTGATCAATATTCCTTAAATATCAATCCCCTAAAAAGTTTATTTCACTGAAACACTAATATGTCTGTAGGCCCAATGTAGTTTTTAGGATTTTGTTCCCCAGCATGGCACAATTAGGATTTGATATTTGGGTACGTGAAAGTATCAGTCGCTAATTTATTGTCTACAGTTTGACATTATTTTGATGTCTATGTTTGTACATATGCTCAAATGTTGATTTAAATCTCAAACATTGAAATGTTATGCTATTTTCAAACCTTGTTTAATTATAATTTGATTAACTTACTGAGTTGGTTGACACTCATCCTACGTTATCTATACCTTTTTTAGTATTCAGAAAGTGGGGGTGTTGGCCTTGGTATTTGAAAGGAAGCTTGCCAGTAAAGGCGTCCAAGATTTCTTGATCAAGATCTAGTCTAGTAATAAAATTTTAATTTTTTTGGTGGATTTTTGCGGTTTTACTTTGGGGTTGCTAACCAAACGGGGAATATGAGATGGAAGACGACAAAGTAGAGTTAGGTGATCATTCACGACGTTTTTGCTGGTGTGGTTGTGGGTGTTTTGTTAAGATGATGGTGTTGGCATGGTGGTAAATGACAGAGAGATAGTGTGTGCGTGTGTGAGAGAGAAGGTGAGAAAGAATGGCTAAAGGAGGTTCTATTGAATTGGAGTGGTGGTGGTTATCCCGACGGGGTTCTATTGAATTGGAGTGGCTAAAGGATTTAGTGGGGATGAGTGGGGAAGTGGCTAAGGAAGTTGATGGAGACTGTTGTATGCTGGTTTGTTAAAGTGAAGTGGGTTAGGGAATGCGAAATCGAGTGGGGGACTACTAATCAGATTAGGTTTTTGGGCAAAATATTCTAAAATGGAATTACCAATGACATTTGGCTTTTGAACCATATTCCTAACATTGAAAGTTTAATGTGAGAGTTTTGATCTTTTAGTTACATAATTTAAAATTAAAGTGAACATAGAGAAAATTAACGTGCTTGCTCTGGTTTAAATAGTTTTGAAGCTTGGGAAACAAGTTCATGCTTGGATTTTGAATGAATGAGTTCAAATCCATTGATAACCAATGACATTGTTGATGTTTATTACAAGTACATTAGTCTGAAGTATGCTAAGTTGGTTTATGCAACGACTGGGATGAAAAACTCCATTTCATCTCTTCTATGATCTTGAGATTTTCGTCTCAACGTAGCCTGGAAGAAGCCAGAAAGATTTTTGATTCATTGACAGAAAAGAATTCCGTTGTGTGGACGGCTATGTTTTCTGGTTATGTGAAATCCCAGGAATGTGAGGATGTTTTTGAACTATTCAGGGAGTTCAAGTCCAAGGAAGCAACAGTTCTTGATGCTTTGATCCTCATCACCGTGCTTGATGCATTTGCCAAGTGGATCTGAACAAGAACTGTCAATCATAATGTTCCAACACTATGGATATTCAAGGTTTTGATCGCTGACGCCTGTTTTTTTTTCTGGCCACCAAATTCTATGATAGGAATGTGTTCATTTTGGGATTTTGAGATTTAGTCACCGATGCGTGTTGATGGGGGAGACATTGGCGTGGTCTGAGTGGAGAAGATGTTGCAAGAGCGCCAATTCAACAACGTGCTCAAGCATCGCTTTAAACCCGCTCTCCTTCACCCTTTCTCTCCTCTGCGTCATCTTAGCTCATTTTCTCTTGATTATTTGCTCCACCATGCCATGTTTCCTTTCTTTCTTTTCTCTGTGTATGCGGGTGTGTGTGTGCCCGCATGCCAAGAGGGTGGGCAACACCCAGATTGAGTATGGAATGAGGTGATTATAGTATTCTTCGAGTGGGCATCTCTGTTGTATGTATGCCTATATACACTCATATGCCATATAATATATAAGTAAATATTTATTGGAAAATATGTATGCATGATCCTGGTAAATATTGTAAGATTTTCATGGGCAAATATGGGAAACAGCCATTTTTGTTACCCCCATCAACAGACAAAACACTATGAAGGGGTGAGAGGGGGGATTCAGATAATACATGGGACGCCCTTGAAGATAAGGTAATCTACAATGGGTGTGGATGAAATTTTCTCAATTAGTTATTATCAAAGCTGATGAAGAACTTTAGCAATACTTTCATTATATGAATTTGAATGATAATATGGGTTTGTATCGAGTACAAAAAAATATGATCTGTAAATAATAATGCAGGAATCAAATTTCTCTTGTTTCCATGAAGGTATTGGTGATTGCAAGCAGCTCATTTGTACACCTATCCCTCTGTCAGACAATCGAACTCAACGTTTTTGGTCTTCTGGCACCTTGCACTTCCCATTATACTTTGGTAGGATTGCAACTGGATTGTGGTTCCCACCACTTTTATCAGTGCTGCTGCTTTTTCTGCATTGAAGATGTCTGTGTGTGTGTGTGTGTAATTTTTTTAACTGATTTGTTGAAACAGTAAGAACAGAGTATTCCTCCATGCAACTTACACAACTGAGAGCGGTGAAAGGGCGGTGAAAACTTTTTCAATTGTCTAGCATGTTGCAGTCCCACAACCTATGTGACACTTGGATGTCGATTGCACACCCACGGATATTGTACCTTCTGTTGCAGCAACCAATCTGACTAGGTACTGATTAGCTGACAGGATGTCTTCCTATATTGTGTATAAAAAAAAAGTTACTGGATTTTTTATGTTCTTGACTTCTCATTTCCCTTCTCTTTCTTGTTGGTGGATTCGAGGCCACCGAAATCCTGTCACAAACAAGTGTGACCTATATTTGACACTATTAGTCAAGGGTTCGTCCCCCCTCTCCTGCTGCTGCGTTTGTTTCCATTTTAACGGTAAGGGGAATCATTTTCTTGGTTTCTTGAAGAATTATTGTTTGTGGCTTTGAAGGATCAAATATTGTTTTGTTGCCCAAGAGGATCAGTATGTGGATGGACCTTTCCTCTTGTAATGTGACATTGTGAAGGACAGTAACTCCATCTTTCTTCTTCTTCCTCCTCCCCTGTTCCCCACCTTTTAGGTTTACTAATCAACAGAGCTGATTGCATTGAAACCTTGAATCGATCCCTGTTTAGTTCCTGGGTAAAGAACTCAATCAATTCCTGCATTGCTTATTCAGTACAAAAAATGTTTTGTTTTTTTCATGGATATTTGCAGATGTGTTTTATTATTGAAGAGCCCTTTCCGACTGACCCTTTGACGAGCTAGTTCACAACATGATGCAAGACGCCATAACTAATGAGAAAAAGATCACAGGTTATTGCAAAAAGAAAGGGTCATCCCAGTGAGCAGTACCACATGACCGGCCTACAATTTAAGAAAACTTTTTTCAGAAGATCAATAGAGCATGCTTCTGTATCTGGAACACGCAGCCTCTGTAGTGACAAGCTATGCACTGTCTGTAACCAAAGTTGAGCATTGCAAATAAGTAAAGATGAACTGCTTTAATGTTGAGGGTCTTGTTTACGTAGAAGCTTACTCAGAAAATGCAGCCTTATGAACTATGTTTTACTTGGATTAAGAGCTTGAAATGTTTGCAGCCTGTATTAAGCTTGAAATGTTTGCAGCCTGTATTAAGCTTGAAGCTCTAGTATAACTTTTGTTCTCCATTGGATTCTGTTCCCTCACCCTAGCACGGGAGGTTCAAGTCAACAGAACAGCAAGAAGTCCGCGGAAGGTTTGTGCAATGGCAGCCAATAAAGTGAATGCAGTTAAAATGCATGCAGAGGGTTTGGGTGCAGTATTAACTCATATTTTGGTTAAATACAGGAAATGAGAAAAGGCACATGCTTGTTAGCACAGCAAAGGCAGGCTAATACACTTCTAAGCTCCTTCGGGGCCATGTTTTCCCCAATCTCTAAGATTTTGCCCACAAGATAATGGACTTAGAAGAGAGATAATGGCCATAAATAGGCATCCTTGTAGATAAATTCTTCAACCTGAGTGTTTGCCCCAGGTTCTTTAATGCTACAGGCAATGCCTCTTCTTTGCTTCCTTCCCAAATTGGCAACCACTTCCACCACAACCTTCTGAAATAACTAATGCTCAAAACCCTCTCTCCAAATCTCTTCAAAACCACCTCTATTTCCTCTTAAATCCAGTAAGATACCGCACGGCCCTCGACATTTACAATATTAAAGGATTGTAATTGAATTTAACCTATCCAAAACAACAGTTTCAAGTCCCTTTTGAGCTGTCTCTTTGTCTCTGAAGTCTGAAGATTATTATTTTAGAAGAAGTTTCATCATTGTCAAAGCAGATTTGAATCAGAGAAAGTAGGACTTTCTGCTAGTGAAATCTTAAGAGGTTGATTGGCATCAGGTTCTTCAGAGTCAGGAAAACAAAATTTTGAGTTGGGTGGAAGAATCACAGCATCACATCCTTGCACCAATTTTTGAGTAGTATCCACCAGACTCTGTGACTTTTTGCCAAGTTGATCTAAAAAATGGCCATCATCTGAGTGAGAGGGAGTATCTGCTGCTCAGTGACTAAACATCACAAAGACTATTAAGCTGATATGTGGTTTTGGCTGGTTAGTGTAATTATTCTGTTATTACGTAAAGCAGTGATAATACATGGCATATAAGGCCAACCATGGTATACATGCCAAACACGTAAATAAGCCGATCAAAATAAATGACACTTAGTACACAAGAAGGAAGAGATACGTTTATACCAGAGTGTAACAAAGGGCTTTCCTGTTTGCATATATGTGCTTCATTAAGTTTCTTCACACCATTCTTCCTCAATACCCAGTCCATAAATTCCTGCATATTGTAGTCTATCCACTCCCTTTGAAGCCACAATTGGGTTTGGATCCACCATCCCAAACGACCACCTTTTTCACTTCAACTTTTATAAGTGCTTATGTGCACGGAGGAGTTCTCCCATAATGATTACATGGTACCAAGCTAACATATGTCTCATTCTCTGCTAAATCTCCACAACTCTCAGAGCAAAAACCCCATAGTTTGCAACCCCCAAGTCAAACAATTCAGTAGAGCCTTTTAATTGATCTTTTACTAAATCCATGTAAAATCAATTCTCCTTGTAACCGTCAATGTCAAGCATAAAACACCAATTAATTATTCATAACGAATATGGTAGAACCTCTAATAATCGTGTTTTGTTGTAATAATCCATTGTTGCTTTGTACACAATCTAGCACTCATATGACCCACTGCTAATTGAAATATAAACATGAAATTATAAACACTATTAAAATCATTGAAGTACCCAACCACATACAGATTTACAATAACAAACAACTGGATTGAAGAATAGGCATGCATTGTTGACAACCTTATGTGTATATTGTTGCCTACTTTATGAATATTGAACAAAGTCATAGGAAAGGATCTACGGGCGTATGCGGACTTGAGGTGGCTGGAGTTCAGGAGGTTGCTTATGTATTTAAATTCCGAAGCAGTGCAACTGTCTCCATCAAACCAATTGTTTTACCAATCAGCACTTATTCTACCCAATTACTCCCATTATCACCAATTGGCAACGTGAACATCAATATTAGCAGCAACATGAAACGCATTTGAATGACATGAAAACGGTCTATTTTTCCGTTGCCATGAAATTACACTGGGACTAAAGTGAGGACGGGTGGATTTGAAGCTAAGTATGGAGGACAGATTTCAGTACCAAAACAATCCATGGACAGAAACAGACCAATTCAGGCAAAGTAAGATGCCAGAGGTGGACCTCACAACAAAAAAACCTTTGCTCCTTTTTCTTATCTAGTTAGGTGTTTTAGCTTCAACTAATTGCACCCCATAGAGGAATGAGTTTTGCCTCAAAAGCCATGTTTGGAAAACTTGAAGTACTCAATTTGCACAGGACATCCAACCACACCCTAAAAACACACATTATACCAGTCTGATATACATGGAAGGATGTAAACAGACAATGACAGAAACAACCCCACGCTGTTAATCTAATTTTTCACTGCCACAACCTCCACCTACACCATCAACAACACTCATACCATCATCCCTACCTCACTGCCAGGGCCGGCCCTAGGGCTAGGCCACTAAGGTGGCTGCCTAGGGCCCCAAAAATATTTTTTTGATCCATGTAACTTAGGCCCAACTTACCTTTCTAGGCCTCATTGAAAGTTGAAAGTGCCTCTAGTTAACGCAAAGTCAGTAGAATTGATTATTTTCTTTTTGTCTCAAAAGGCATGCTCTCTCTCTCTCTCTCTCTCTCATCATAACAATTTTTGACTTTTTGGAGTTTGAGAAGATGACTTTTGTTTTTTTACCAAAATAATGTTATTATAAAACAAAAACTGTGTATTTTATAATATTTTAATGGGTCTTAATTGCTGCTCCTTTTTCTCTCATATTCTGACCATCTATCTGCATTGTTCGTCCCTCGGGATTAATTTTCCTATTTGTTATCAATTTAGTTATATGTATAATGATCAAGCCAGGGTTCTGGGTCTTACCATTGTTTCAGTTTTTAGACTTAATTTTCTTAAGCAAAAGATCAAAAGAGGATATAAACTTTATGTTTGCATTGTTTATAAACTATGATAGTGTTAGATTCCCACCAAAAAAAAATAAAAATCAATTATGATAGTGTCACATTTGCATTGTTTATAAACTTTATGTTTCAATTTAATTTGATCTTAGCAAATCAATTGTTATAAAATATTTTTAATTGACAAATTATTTTTTTTAATCTTAAGTATACCTGCTTGATACCGCGAATCTGAAAAATAGAAGAAAAAAGAGACAAGTAAATAATTGATTTGAACTTAAAAAGAACGCTTAGTGATAACTAAAATATATCTAGAAGTGCACATGATTATTTAAAAATTAGACGACCAAATCATGTAACAAAATTAGATGAACAACTTAAAAATTTAAAAGCAAGAAATATGACTTTTGAAAATAAGCATAATATAGTATTTTTTTTAACTATATAATATTATATACTACTACACTAAACACTATTAGGGCCATATTTTGAACTTTCGACTAGGGCCTCTAATTACGTTAGGCAGCCCCTGCTCACTGCATCCCATTTCAATTAGAACCACCATAACATATACAGGACCAACAACATAACATCTCTACCTCTCTAATTCAAGGGCATATAGAAAACGGCAATGTCTCAATTTCTAACATTATAATATCATTTTCTTCACTCATAAAGATAGCTAATATATCATGATTTGATTTGTTTAAGTCATAAATATAACCAGGTTATCTATTCCGATGGACCGATATAGGTACTCACGAATGTTATGACCAGAAGCGTTACCATATCTGCTTTGCAAAGTAACTAAAACATAATAAATCATTCAAAATTTTACACAGCCACATGCAATATCTTCACTCGAGGTTATACATCTAAAACTTTCAACAGCCACGAAATTCCAGTACTTTATAGCAACAAAACATGAATATTCTAGAAGACTCAGAAAACATTAGCTAAACAATTTTGTAAATCAACTTAATGGCACCAAGATCATATAGAAAATTAAATGAACAAATCCAAGCAATAATAGATATGAAAGCGAGGGAGAGAGAGATTAGGGTTTTGATTTCGATTAAATACCATCAATTGAATTTGTTCTTGGGATCTCTGAACCAACGCAGTCTCAAACCGAAGAATCTCTGTAGCGGCCTTCTCGTTCGTCCATGCGAGCTTCAAGAACTCGGCATCGGTCGACGAAATCAACGACTCCTAGTAGTCCATCGCAGAGAACCCCGACCGACTCCATCAGATTGGACGTCTCCCTCTCTCTCTCTGAAAAGGTAGATTTCTTTTCTTCGTCTCTGTTCTTTGATGCGGAAAAGACAGATCACGAGTTTGTGCGTGAATCTAACGCCATTCGATTGAGCTGCCCTGCGGACGGCTCTGATGATATGGGTTTAAATTCACGCACAAACTAGAAATATGTCTCTCCTCTCTCTCGATCGATCGAGGATTGGTTGAACATTGTTGCCTTTTTATAGAGTGTCGCTAATTGAATTGAGCATTAAATAAGAGCAGAAAACGTGTAGGGAGGGAGTCAAAGGTAACTTCTAGATGGAATGCGCAATGTTGCTTTGTGTTCAAGAAAAGGAAAACGAAAATTATAAATAACGGCTCTTTAAGCTCCTTTTGCTTGGTCAGCCTAAAGACCTTTTAACGCTCCATGTTGGGCCTTTTCAAATAATGGTAAATTTTCTGTTAAAATCACTTGTAAATGGCTTTCTGATTCTGGTGAAGACAATATTCCTTTGAACACGACTAATGATGCAACTTGTGAGAGATGTAAAATCTACTATGAATCCACTTTGCATATCTTAAGAGACCGCTCCAAAGCACAGATAATTTTGAGAGTTTTCTTAGGAAACTCTTGATCGCGAATTCTCTGGATACTGATTTATAGAAATGACTTCTTGAAAACCACAAAAAAAAAAAAGAAATAAGGAAAAATAGAAAGGATTGGAATGACTTGTTGTTTTTACCTCTATCATCTGACATTTTTTGAAAGACAAGAACAAGGAGTGCTTTGAAAAAACTCATCCCCCCCCCCTGTTACTGCCAAGAATGTCTGGCTTATGGCCCAAGATATTAACTCTACTTTCATAGAAAACTTGAATTGTCAAGAACATTGCACAAAGAAACTCATTGGTTGGTCTTTTCCTCCTGTAAGATGGATGAAAACTGAATGTTGATGGATGCTCCAAAGAAAATCCCAGACCTGCAGCTATTGGAGGACTTGTGAAAAATGACCAAGGAGTTTGGCAGCTGGGTTTCTATAGAAGACTTCCTAACTGTTCAAGCAAACAGCTGAACTATGGGCTATTTACAAGGGTCTACAGATTACTCATTCCTAGGGGATGAAAAAAGTCATTGTGGAGATTGACTCTCTGGATGCTCATAGACTCCTCAAGACAAGATAGGAGAAACCCACCACAGAGAGAGCATTTTTGAATGCAAGAGGTTTCTCACCCTTCTCAATTTCCCCATCCAACACATCAAAAGAGAAGGAAATTTATGTGCGGACAACCTTGCAAATTTGGGTTCTAAACAAAATAATAGAATGGGGCTCCTCAACTCCTCACCTTGCTCAATGGGAGAGCTTTTGAGAAACGATAGTGCTGGTGTCTCTTATGTGAGAGGATTTTGCTAACTCTTTTGAACTTTTCCAATGTACCCAAAAAAAAGGATTTTTCAAATCAGTGAGATTGGTGTAATCACTTAGGGGTCTCAAAAATATGAAACGATTCATTAACACGATATAAAATTATAAGATTTGAGTTTTTTTAAGCTATCAATTTTGAAAATTAGTGAATTTGACAAGACATAATATGAATAATAAATAAATCGGGATGAGTAAAGTCAATTAAAAGAAATATATTATAAAATCTGAAAAAAAAATTATTATTATTATTATTAAAAATCCTAATTAAAGGGGTAAAATAATAATTATTTGTTAAAGTATGAGTCAAAAAGGTAAAATTTTAAAATAATGAATTTATTCCATAGATATATATAAGTGAAAGACTCTTTCTTCTCCAGCCGGCGAGACAGGGAGAGTAAGAGAAAAGTGAGTTTTTTTAATTTTTTTAATTTTCTTTATTTTCAGATCTACGAAAATTTAATCGTTTAATCGTTTTAGGCAAAGAATTAAAGTTGCTCTACTCAGCGAGAGCTACGCAACCACACCAAATATCGTATTTTTCTCCGAAAGAATATCAAATACGATAATTTAGACCTAAGGTTTGAGAAATTAAATTTGGGCTTTCTCGGAGTTCTTAAATGTGGGCTCACGCTACGAGAGGTAGGATTTCCCCTATTTAGATTTAATTTCAACTTAAAATATGACATATGAAATGGGTAGGTTATGGGTGTATATCACATGTTATGTCTTGACTAGTGTAACTAGTGGGTCAAATATAAGATTTATAATTAATTTTGTGATTAATAAAATCTTATTACGATTAACTTGGTGTAAGTTAATGTTGGTGGTTTAAAGCATGTTAATTGTAGATTAGCATTATTTTATGTTTTAATGGCATATCAAGTTTAATAAAATTATTAGTTTGTTATGTGATTATGAAATAATATATATGTTAAAAGATTATTTAACGTATAATTATTTTGGTGGACTTGTGCTTATGTTTATATAATTAATAAACATGTTGTCATGTTGAAAGTCATAGCATGTTAATTGTGTAAATTGATGTGCATTTTAGGTGTTTGATTAAATGCCTAGATGAATACAAGTATGTTAGTTGAGTTGATTATCTTATATAACATGCTTGAGATCGTGTTAAAATGTCATTATATTGTATTCATTGTGTAATGGATATTGTATTGCATTATGCATAGGTTGCACTACATTCGTGGGCATTGACACGAGTGAGAGTGTATGCATGGTATGAAATCAATCACCACATAGGTGGTTGATTGTGGGTTCGAAAAAATCGCACCAAGGTCCGACTGAGTTACACGGGAAATTAAATTGATAAATGTGTTGGGGACAGCAAGAAGGGCTAGATTCTCCCTCGGGTGCAAGACCCGCTCACTTGGTTTATACACTTTCTGGCGGTGAAATTCCAGAAAAGTGTAACGGCGAAAACGGAGGAGCAGGTGGGATGTCCTGAAGATCCGTTGATGGTTGGTGTCCCATTGATGTAATACCATAAATCACCTCCCTACAAAGACACAAGAAAATGAATGAATTAATCATTGAGTGTACATAACATTAATGATGGGGGCTTGGAATACCCGGATACATATGCATGACATTGTATGTGTTATAGGAGCTCAGGATGGGGCTCGGGGTTGGTATTGCTTGCGTGAGTCTCATCTCATAACATGATATGATTTATGACATTCGATCATAATAGACATATTTGAATGAATGCATTAAATAATTGTTGCATGTGACATTCCATATGCATTTAGGTTGAGAGGTATTCTCTATAGGAGTTATCCTATTGAGCGTTGACTCACCTTTATGGGAACATTTTTCAGGTATCGCAC